TTCGGGGAGGGGTTTACCCCTCCCCCTACCCCCTCCCCGCTGACCTGGACAGGGGGGGCGGGGAGCGGTCAGAGCGTCCAAAACGGCCTCGCCGAGGGAGCCACAATCATTGATTTTACTGAGGTTTTGGCCCCATTTTGCCCCCCCAGAGGGGGCAACACTAATTGAAGCACCCCTCTTCTTTGATCGATTTCCTCCAAGATGGCCCCGAGAAGCGCCCAGGAGGCACCAAGAGGCCCCAAAATGGCCCCAAACTGGCCCCAAGAGGCCCCCAGGAGGCCCCCAAGAGGATCCCAAACGGCCCAAAGAGGCCCCCCCGTTGCACGCAAGACGCCGAAAAGCCCCTCAGGACGACCCTCTACTCGCCTGGGCGTCGTTTCTGGACGGGCTGGTGGGGATACGCGAAGCGTCTAGAATTCCTCAAAGGCGATTGGGAAATCCTCCTGCGTGAAGCTGAAGAGCACGGGAAACTTAAACAACAACGAAAAAGACCACCGACTACCGCGACGACGACACCGCCGACTACAGCAACGACGACATCGAACGACGATAAGCGACGCAAAGGAGTCATGGGGAAAATCAAACTCCGCGAAATTACCCGAGCACGTGTTCTACTGACTTCCACGGGACTTGCCCCAGGGAACGCAGATGCCTTGGCGGAGTTGCGAGACCCAGAACTCCGACCACCAGAGATCACAGAAGAGATCGACGGCGACGTCCTCTCATACCAGCCGGGCTCCGAGATCCACATCGACCAAAACCATCTGTTGCAAGCGCTGCGTTCTGGTGGCACGGGGTCCGCCCCTGACATGGCGGGCACGCGGTGCGAACACCTACGCGTGGTTCTGGAAGACAACGACAGTTGGTCACTATTCGTCACCAAGGCACTTGTTCCTCCAGAAGTAGCGGCTGCATTACGCCTGGGTCGGATGACCGCCCTCCGGAAAGACAATGGGAGAGTACGTGGCATTGTTGCGGGTTCAATCATCCGACTGTTGGTTTGCAGGTGGCAAAACAATACAATGAACAACTTATGGCTGCGACGTTCCCGTTTCAATGCGCCCTCCAAACAAAAAGTGGTACTGAGGCCATCGCGCGCATCTTACATTATTTGACAGATGCGGACCCTGACGCCGTGGTTCTCAGCCTGGATGGTATCGGCGCTTTCGACCACGTCAAACGGGCGGCATTCCTGCGGAAACTACGGTACTCACCTACTCAGGAACACCTCTTGCCACTGACGCGTATGTTATACTCCGCGGAATCAAGAGTTCTATGGAAAGACGACGCCGGGACAACCCATACTATCATACAAGGCGAAGGGGGAGAACAAGGATGCCCACTGATGCCAGCTCTGTTCGCCTTGGCTCAGCACGACGGCCTGGCTGAGGCCGAAGGCGCACTATTGCCCTCGGAACAGATCTTAAGCTTCTTGGATGATTTGTACGTCGTCACATCCAAAGAACGGGCGGCTGCCGTGTTTCGGACAGTTGCGGACGCAGTCGAACGGCATGCGGGCGTCGAGTCGCACTTGGGAAAGCTACGGGTTTGGAGCCGCGGCGGCGGAGAGGCCCCACCGGGCCTCGACGATTTGGGAGAAGCAGTGGGCCCCGAAATCTGGACGGGCGATAGACCCGCGCACGAGAATGGAATCGTAGTTTTGGGTACACCACTGGGGGCGCCCGATTTTCTCAAGGCGCACGCGGAGAAACGGCTCAAAAAGGAACGACGACTATTGGACGAACTTCCGCAGCTGGAAGACGTCCAGGCAACCTGGGTGCTGCTGAACATGTCAGCCGTCCCACGTTCCAACCACATGGTGAGGATTTTGCCGCCTACGACGTCTCGAGGGCATTCTGAATCGCACGATGCAGCAATCTGGGAATATTTTTGCAGTATCCTCAGCGCTGGTGCTCTGATGGGGGACACATTGGCGAATCAAATTGCTACGCCGCCCGGGCGTTTAGGAGGGCTGGGCCTCCGGTCTGCCACAAGGACGGCCTCTGGAGCGTATTGGGCGTCATGGGCAACGGCTTTCCCCATCATGCGTCAGAAAGCGCCGCCAATCGCCGCTGCCATGTTGCGTGAACTTCTAAGTGGCGCAAGTCCGGCCGCATTTGCATTGCGAGAACTGGTGGCAAGCAGATGGCGACTCAAACAAGAAGGGGCTGTAGATCTTCCAGGATGGAGGCAACTGGCCCAAGGAGTGGATCCGCCACTTCCAGTGCATCAACGTGCAGACGGTGCAGATTTCGCGCACGGTTGGCAATGCCACGCTTGCTCTTTTTCAGAAGCATATTTTTTAGAGCATGTGGTAAAGCCCAACAGTGACGAATCTCGCCGAGCTTTGTTGTTATCGCAGGCTGGGGGAGCAGCGGGGGCATTTCTTCGCGCCATTCCTTCCGAAACCATGCTACACTCTGTCTCCACTTCGTCTACAAAGTGCCCTGCGACGACGGTCACGATGGCCATTACCTCTGGCGGGAGGCCGGTGCAGCAAAAGTTGTGCAGGCTCACTGGATGCTTTGGGCGACCACGCAGCGGCATGCGCTCGCAGTGGCAAATTGAAATCAAGGTCAATTCCACTGGAGCGCATCTGGCGAAAGATCTGCCGAGAAGCTGGGGCACGTGTGAAGGATAACGTACTGTTGGCCGATACTGCTATACAGAACATCGACCCATCGGACGGCCGCAAATTTGAAATTGTGGCAACGGGCCTGCCCTACCAACGAGGCGTCCCGCTGGCGGTAGACGTTACGATGGTATCTCCTCTACATGCTAACGGCACTCCTTTCCCCAGGGCCTCCACGGAACCAGGCACTGCCATACGCAGGGCGATCAGAGACAAACACAATACCTACCCCGAACTCGTGGATTGCCCTACGCTCAAGCTGATTGTGGTTGCGATGGAGACTGGAGGAAGGCTAAACGGAGAAGCCTTAGATTTTCTTGAGCACGCCTCTGCGGCGAAGGCCCGGTCTGCACCAGCACCTCTTCGGAGTGCGGCGGCTCGTACGTGGAAGGCGCGATGGACCTGCCTCACGTCCGTGGCATCACAAGACGCTTTGGCAGCGACTCTGGTTGACAACGGTGTCGCCATCCTCGATGCCGCCGATGGGGCTGACCCGCTAGCAATCGATCTGTGGGTAGACCGTGACAGCTGATGGCCCCGGCCGCCTCCCCCGTCCTCCCCCGTCCTCCCCCGTCCTCCCCCGTCCTCCTCCTCGTCCTCCTCGTCCTCCTCGTCCTCCTCGTCCTCCTCGTCCTCCTCGTCCTCCTCGTCCTCCTCGTCCTCCTCGTCCTCCTCGTCCTCCTCGTCCTCCTCGTCCTCGTCCTCGTCCTCGTCCTCGTCCTCGTCCTCGTCCTCGTCCTCGTCCTCGTCCTCGTCCTCCTCCTCCTCCTCCTCCTCCTCCGGTGGTGGGGGCTTCTCGGGATCAGCCTGCAGTCAGCCGTCGCCAGGGCTGTATTGCGGGACGTGGCTGACCTACCAGAAGTGCGGCTCGAGCCCACACCACCACTTACAGACCTGGAGGTGGTGTAACTCCTCCTCCCTCCTCCTCCTCCTCTTCCTCCTCCTCCTCCTCCTCCTCCTCCTCTTCCTCTTCGCATCTTAGCGCCGTTTGCGCTTGGTGCCATTTTCCGCCGCGTGCGCCGATTTTCCTGGCCGCCGAGTTGTTGCGCACCCATCGGTGTATAGTTCATGAGGTCAGAGGTCTGAGCTCGAGCCATACGCCAGAGCGCGTGGGTTTCACCCAGGCCCTTTTGCGAGCTTGGTGCTTGTCGTCCTACCTGGTTCTTGCTGGAGCGCAGGAGAAACAAAAAAAAAACTGTTTGTAAAACCATCCTAAAATTCCCGTCCACGGTGCAAATATCCTAAGGGTGCTCCCATGCGGACGCGACCGTGTAGCCCTCGTGTTTTTTCTCGCGCCAAAGTCGGTATCAATCAGATGGTTTGTGCCCCCCATTTCCCATGCCCAATCAAATTTCGTGCTATAGGTCGTTATTTTCATTCTCTGCGCTGCCTGCCCCTTTTGTTGCTACCTCCTTGTCGTGGTTGTCCAGTCCGTGTTACAGGAGACAACCGTCACATCACAAAACAACGGACGGCCAAAAACAACTTACAGCCCAGGCGCTACGAGGTCGAGACGTTTCCGATCGTCTATTGGGACTAGTACGTTTGAGCCTGCCAATTGCCGTTCTACGTTGCGATCCGGGATGGATCCTCCAACTTCGACCAAAACTTGGCGCCATCCCGCAACTACCTCCGTGTGTCTTGTACTGAGGCGTCCCCTCTCGTTGGACCCAAGGCTGGCGTACCCATGCGGATCGGGGCCATCGAACACAACAACGATACCCAACCGTCTGTGCTCAACACACAGAAACAAATCGCTTGGGAATGTGAGGCAATAGTTTTTGGACACGTTGTGAGCCATGTACTCGCGTACGGACCTTGACAACACAATAGCCGAACCTTGCCTGTTGACACTGCATTCACACGTCGGTGCCTGTTGTCCGGTTTGTTCAATGCCGTAAGAACTGACACGCGCATCGCATCCCCGATGGTTGGTGGCAAGTGGGCCCGAGCAATGGTTTCCGCCACTTTGCAAACAAATCGAATGCTGTGTCGTCCTCCAAAGATGATATGACATATTCGTATATGCTGCCCCATAATAAATATGTTTGTATGTATGTATATATATATTGTTGAGGGAGTATTGCTTTTACTCCCTTGCGCTCTTGAGCCAAAACGTTTCCGGTCAGTCTCTCTGCCGATCGGCCGTGCTGCATGCAATGCTACACCCAACTGCTATCCCACTTCATGGGATTGATGCTTCTGCTACGCTACATGCTACCTTCCTTCCCGGGGCAGGGGTTTAACCCGAACACCCCTCCTTGGCCGTATCCTGTCTTCGCAGGAAAGGCCAAACTCGGAACCGCTGCCATTCTGGACTCAAACGTCCACGGTCTCAGATCGATTCTGGCAACGAAGCTGCATGCTCTCAGTCGGGCTCGTCGGCCAGCACGGTGCTACCCGCTTCTGGCTCGACCGCTTCTCCGGCAACCCTCAGTGCCTTCGGGTGCCGTCCTGTGGCCTCTCTGAAGTTCATCAACTTCATCAAAGTCTCCTGCACGGTGACGCTGACGGCTTTCGTTCCGATGTCCGCCAGGTTCTCGTCCTTGTGCACCTTCTTGATCCTGAGGTCTCTGCGATTGACGTGGTGTTGTAGCCAGAGCAAGCCCGTGTCGAGATAACGGACCTTGCCCAAGCCCACTCTCGACGCGATGCCCTTGCCTGCCGTGCTGTCGGTGTGGAGGTCAATGGGCACCTGTCCTCCCATGTCCCGGATCATCGATCTCATGCCGATGGCGGTCGAGCCGCCCTTGACCTGGGCCACGAACTCCGCCTCGCCAGAACTCAGGGCAGGGGCCGTTTGGGTCGCCACCTGCACTCGCAGGCAATGCTTGCCGTGCATCGCTACCGCACAAGATACACTCTTACGATCCAGATCCTGAGCCCAGTCGCTGTCGGCGTACACGTCGATCCTGCCCGGCTGGTCCTGCAAAGGGAACTGCTGGATCCACCGGCCGTGCCCATGTAGGTACCTCAAGCATCTCTTCAAGCGCGCCCAAGACCCAACTGTTGGCTTAGCCATGAACCTCGCCAGCCGGTTTGCGCTGAATCCGTACACCGGGACGTCCGCAGCGAGATAAGCTAGCCTCATTGTTGCGGATCGGAATGCTGTCGCCTGCCCTCGGCCTAGGGGCTCCTCGTCGTGCATGTCCTCCAAACGCTTGTCGGCAGGTGTCGTCGCGGATTTCGACCGGCCGTCGAAACCAACCAGGCCACGAAGCAGGTCAACATGGCGTGGGTCAGGTTCGAGAGAAACCACCCGGGACGCGTCGTTCAAGTCCACCAGCCTGTTCAGGATGGTAACATGCTTGTCGTCTGCTGTGCCCCAGCCAAGCTTTGCGCGTCTCTTGAGGATCATCACGCTCCGGAAACCCTCTTCGAGCCGGTCTAACCACTCATCAGGTCCCTCGAAAACGAGATCGTCTCCGTGGCGCCACCCAGCACTGTCCTCGGCAGCGCAGTAGTACAGACAAGGTGATGACAGCCCCACCTCGTACTCGCGCCTGACGATCGCTTCGTTGAAGAATTCGTCCCAGGCGTTTGCTGCATCTCGTGTCCCGTACAGGGTGCGCAACAACCTGCCCACGAAGCCTGCCTGAGCGTCTTCTGGCAGCCGGATGCACAGCTCTCGGCGGCACTTCGGATGAAAATGCGCTCGAGAAACGTCCAAAACTAAGATCCTGCGCTCTCCTGGGCTTCTGGCTGGTCCCCTCCTGCGCGACTGGAACCGAGACAACAAGTACTTCAACGACTCCAATGGTGGAGTCGCGGCAAATGTGTTCTCCATCGCCAGCGACTTCCACTTGAACTCACGCCCGACGAATCTAGCTCGAACGTCTGGTGCGTTTACGTCCCCTTTGTTGGTTATGGTCCACCTTGTCGAGATGAACTCTTTGCCCTTGGCCATCGCCTCTGGCACCTTCTCATAGACAGGGAAAGTACGAAGGAACTCGATTTCCTTGACTTTGGCTTCCCTGACGTCTCGGGAGTTCAACCGTTCGCCCGTCAGCTCGTCGAAGAACTGCTCGAGCCCGTCTTCGTCCCACTCCTGGGTGTCGTGGCCGGTAATGCCCGGCTCCAGGGCGTTGATGCTGACCGCACCGTCCTGCTGCAGCTGTCTACGCAGCCCTCTCAACACAGCCGCCACTATGGCCGGCTTACTCTCCACCATGGGACTCATGGTCACTATGCTGCTGATGGCATTCTCGCGATCGCCGCCCTGGAGCTTCGTGAGTTCCTCGGCGATGCATCCGGAGTTGGTCAGCCATTCTGCGGCCCTTCCGGCCTTCACATGCTGGGCGCTCTCATGCCCCAGCAGATGGCTACCATCATCCTCTTCCTCTTCCTCCCTCCCCCCCTGCTCGTGACCAGGGGCGGCGCCATTCACGTGCTCGTGGAGGAAATAGTGACCGTCTTGCAACTGCTTGTGGTAAAGGTTGCGACTGTCTCGAAAATGCGCACGCCCAATCAGCAGCTTTGGGCGGACAGTGCCCCGGAGGCCTTCCGCCTGCTCCACATGCGTCTGATTCTTAAGATCCCAGCCCGTAGTCAGATCTAGTGCGACCCCGGGGTGCACTCCCCACCGGGACGCCTGGTCAGCGAACCGCTTCCTGCAGAACGCCTCCGACTCGATCACGTCGACGTCGTCCTTGATCGGCTGCCGGATCGCCTCCTGCAGCCGCGGCCCGATCGCCGCTCCTAGGTGCATCAGCTCGCCCGCGATCTCCGCGACCTCGCGCCGCGCCCTCTTGGCAGCCCGATCGTGCGGACCACCTGCTGGGTCGTCCCCAGCTCTGACCTCACCTCTCCGCAGTGCGGTGCTACCCGCTTCTGCTCGAAGGGGGTCCTGAGCCTCGCCTGGACTGCGAGCCGGCACGGTGCTACCCGCTTCCGGCGAATCCGGCTGGCTCGGAGCGTCGGCCGGCGCGGTGCTACCCGCTTCCGGCGCGCTCCCCGGCTGCCTCCGAGCGTCGGCCGGCGCGGTGCTACCCGCTTCCGGCGCGCTCCCTGGCTGGTCCGACGGCGCGGGGCTACCCGCTTCCGTCGGCACCTCTCCTGCGACTTCACCTGGTCGTAGAACCTGTGCTCCTCCTGGTCGTTTGTCTGGTGGTGCTCCTGCCTCACCCCGTCTACGATGAGCTTCCTCGACTCGCTGTCAAACCTCGGACCTCTCGTCCGCCAAGATCGCCGCCTCGATCCTGTTACGGCACTCCTGCGTGTGTAATCGTGCTGGTCGGCCTTCAAATGCCGCTGCACATCCAGGACAATTATCTGAGAAACCGTACGCTCGAAATTCAACCTAACGACGAATGTAGAACCTCCTCGGAATAACTTCCGGTCATCTTGGTTTCGGAACTCGCGGGGGCAACTCCGCCTCAGGGACGATCGGTTCAGTCGCCCGGAGGGGCTCGTAGTCGACGGTTTGGCCTCCTGGTTCTCCCGAGCTGGGTCCCAGGGGACCCCCGCGATCGCTGGACTGGATCGCCGGCAACCGCTTCACGCAGTTCACCTTGAAGACGCCGCGGGGCGTGCCTACGAGCAACATGTTGCTGCGCTCCACCAGCCCCAAATATATGCCGGTCTCCCACCTGTCCTCGGACTTCCGTCGCCGCCGTACCGTTGATACCGGCATGTGCATCACGGCCTCCCCGAATGGAGGCAGCTTCCGGCGATAGGGCTTGCCCTTGCGTATCTCGTAGGCGGTCCTGTTGTCCTTGGCGGCACGCTGGGACCTGTTCAATAGTTGCCCTGCGTACTCCACGGCATAGATCCTCAGAGGGTGCTTGAACGGCACCTGGACGCGATGATGTTCCAAGCATGCGTGCACTAGGGTGCGAGCCGTGCTCTGGACCTCCCAGATAGCACGCTCGACAACAGCATTCTGCTGTGACTCGGACGTGCCGCTCTCTTCCAAGATGACGTCCACAGGGCCAGCAACCTCCCGTAGCTTCTTCACCACCTCCTGCTTGAGCGACTTGATCGCAGGCTCCCCGTCGCTCTTGTACGTAAACTTGGCAAAGCCTGCCTGCATCACGTCGTCCACCGTGGCCTTCACAGCGTACGTTTCTGGGCCCTTGCGTGGGACCACGCGTGCCGATACCCGCCGATCGCCGTAGAACTTGTGGACAAGGGTTGGCAAGCACTTGTCGGTAGCCTTGTCGCTCTCGACGGCGCCACCCATGAAACAGTAGTCGCAAGCCACTCCCTGGACGCCAAAATCGTCGGACGTCTTCAGGAAGTGTGGATCCGCCTTTCCCTTACCAGCCACACAGCTACGGCGCCAAGCAGCATAGGGCATGTGATCGATCTCATGCCTCGCTCTCTCCTCCGGCGTCGGGAGGTTCGGTGCCATCATCGCCGGTACGCCGCCTCCCCGAGTCCCGAAGATCTCGTGCTCGATGTGCTGCTGCTGCTGCTGCTCCTGCTGCTCGTCCGTCCCATCCTCCTCCATAGGGCTACTACTCGGCTCAGGTGCGGCATTGTTGCCGCCTGCCCCTCCTGAGCCGGACTCCAGGGGACTTACGGACACGCCGGCCCCCCGAAAGGGGGTGACGGCGGCAGCACAACCTCGGCATCGATCTCAAATTTACCTCCTCGACGTGTGATCTCGATCTCCTCCCCGGTCCTGCAGTGTTTGGCGTAGCACCGGCCGCCACACTTGAAATGCAGGTCGTGGCCGGCGTCCATCATCGAGCACATCGCCAGCAGAGGCTTCCTCACCGGCACAACGTTCACGTTGGCGTTCCTCCTCAAACCTCCTATCCTCAAATCGTACCGTCGTCGTCCAAGATTGGGAAGGCTAGGGGTCTCACGGTCTCCGGGTCCGAAGTACTTGACTCCCCTACGAGATTCCGGACTCTCCTCCGTGGCCACCTGCGGGAAGAGCTCCGGGAACCACACCGTGACCTCCGCGCCGCTGTCCAGGCCCATCGTGACGTGGTTCGTCGTCGTCTGGGCGTGGACCATGCCGACCTCCTTCTGCTCGGAAACCTGGCACAGCTCCACGCTCCCGCAGTCCTGGTCCTTCAGCGCGCCGATGTTCAGGCTGAGCGCCCGCAGCTGCTCCTCGATCGCAGCGATGTCCACCCTCTGCCTCTTCCTGCTCGGGTCTCTGTCGGTGGACGATCCTGGCGCCTGTCCTCCTGTCCTCTGCGGATCGGCATGGCTCCTCCTCTCGTCTCCTCCTTTGCTATCCTTTCCTTTACCTTTTCCTCCTTGTCCTTTCCCTTTTCCTTCCCTATCCTTACCTTTTCCTCCTCTTCCTCGTCCTTTTCCAGCGCTCGGCGGTGGTGCCTTTTCCTCTGCGTTCCACCAGCAGTCTGCTTTCTTTGGCCAGGCTTGCCACAGCAAAAGCAATCTCCGGCGAACTTGATCTTGAGCTCGCCCTTCACCTGGCCCTTCTGGCTAATTTTACCGCCGGCTCCCACGGCCAGGACTTCCGCCGAACCGCCGGGGGCGAGCCACTGCTTGACTCCGAGGTACTCCTGGATCTCCCTCTTCATCTCGATGAAAGTGTCCACGCGGTACGCGTTGAGAACGAGGTGGTCGCCCAGCTTCTGCTGCAACTCGCTGCCGGCGGCCAGCGCCTTCAGCAGCACGCCGGTCCGGGTGTCGTCGTCGACGGTCTTCTTGGTGGCGGCCTGGTGCTGGCGGATCTGCGTCTCGAGCCTGTCGATGCCCTTCCGCGGGTCCTCGTCCTTGTTGAAGGTGAAGTTGAGGTACGCCTGCTGCAGGGCCATCTTGCGAGACGCGAACTTCGGCTCGAACTCCGCCATCAGGAGCCTCCACAGTAGGAGACCTTCTCCGTACTCGACGGTCTCTAGCTTCTCCATCATGTTCTCCTTGAGCAACATGGTCAGGATGAAGTACAACTGTGCGTCCAGCTGGTCGTCGCCCGGGTCCAAGTCCACCCTGTCGAGGCTCTCGTCGAAATTCTCGGCTTTCCGGATGAGCTCCAGCATCCGGCCGGACACCGCTCCGAGGTAGGCCCGCATGGTCACAGACCACCTCCGCCAGTCCGCTTCCTTCCCACTGAACTCGCCTGGCTTGTTGATCAGCTTGGTGTCCACGCTGGTCGGGACCAGCGGGGTAGCTCTCGCACGAGCTGCGGCCTCGCTCTTCTTGGCGTCGTCGGCCTCCTTCTTCCTGGCCTCGTCGTCCTCGTTCTTCTTGAGCTGCTCCTTCAGCTGCGTGTTCTCGTCCTCCAAGCGCTGGAGTCTTTCTAACACTGCTTTGAATTGTTCCTCCATTGTGGAGCTCGTCGAGGTCGTCGTCGATCTCCTTCTTGAGGCGCTTCAGGTTCACGGCCCTCTGCTCCTCTGTGGTTGGCTGCTCGCCCGCCGCGTGTCGTCGCAGCGCCGAGCCTCGTAGTTGTCGGTTGGACCTCGACTCTGCAGATCGAAGTCTCTGTTTGCCCATGCACAGAGGAGCCCAGCCGAACCTGAGGCCACGGAGCTACCCGCTTGTCTCAGATCTGACCAGGCTCCGCTACCATGTTGAGGGAGTATTGCTTTTACTCCCTTGCGCTCTTGAGCCAAAACGTTTCCGGTCAGTCTCTCTGCCGATCGGCCGTGCTGCATGCAATGCTACACCCAACTCCTATCCCACTTCATGGGATTGATGCTTCTGCTACGCTACATGCTACCTTCCTTCCCGGGGCAGGGGTTTAACCGATCAATATATATAGATATATATATATATATATATATATATATATATATATGGTCGCCCCCCCTCCTATGATCTACCTAAGCCTCTTTGCGGCCTTAACTTCCACTCGGAAGCCCTCGGGGTTGGGCCTTGACTTCCACTCTCGGGGGCACTCGGGGGAGCGGGGCGGAGGGAGGGCGGGAGAGCGGGAGAGCGGGAGAGCGGGAGAGCGGGAGAGCGGGAGAGCGGGAGAGCGGGAGAGCGGGAGAGCGGGAGAGCGGGAGAGCGGGGAGCGGGAGAGCGGGAGGGCGGGAGAGCGGGAGAGCGGGAGAGCGGGAGAGCGGGAGAGCGGGAGAGCGGGAGAGCGGGAGAGCGGGAGAGCGGGAGGGCGGGAGAGCGGGAGAGCGGGAGAGCGGGAGAGCGGGAGAGCGGGAGAGCGGGAGAGCGGGAGAGCGGGAGAGCGGGAGAGGGGGAGAGCGGGAGAGCGGGAGAGCGGGAGAGCGGGAGAGCGGGAGAGGGGGAGAGCGGGAGAGCGGGAGAGCGGGAGAGCGGGAGAGGGCATCAAGGCCGGGTCCATTCCGTCACGGGGCTCTCGGGCCACCCGTGCCACCGAGCCACCAGGAAAGCCACTTGATACACCTTGAAGCCTTCCTCGTCCACGCTCTCCCCTCTCCCGCCTCCCGCTCTCCCGCCTGTCTCCCGTTATCCCGCCCTCACGCTCCCCGCCCTCCGCTCTCCCGCTTCTCCCGCCTCTCCCGCTCCTCACGCTCTCCGCTTCTCCCGCTTATCCCGCTTCTCCGCTCTTCCCGCTCTCTACCGCTCTCCGCTCTCCCGCTCCCCGGCTTCTTTCACGCTCTCCGCTCTCCCGCCCTGCTTCTCCCGCTCTCCCGCTCTCCCGCTTCTCCCCTCCCGCTCTCCCGCTCTCCCGCTCTCCCGCTCTCCCGCTCTCCCGCTCTCCCGTCTCCCGCTCTCCCGCTCTCCCGCCCTCCCGCTCTCCCGCTCCCCTGCTCTCCCGCTCTCCCGCTCTCCCGCTCTCCCGCTCTCCCGCTCTCCCGCTCTCCCGCTCTCCCGCTCTCCCGCTCTCCCGCTCTCCCGCTCTCCGCCCTCCCGCCCTTCCGCGCTCCCGCTCTCCCGCTCCTCGACTCTCTCATTCTCCCGTTCTGCCGCTCCAGGCCCGAAGAGATGAGGAGGAGGAGGAGGAGGAATGGCGGATGGGGGGAGGAGGAGGAGGAGGAGGAGAGGTAGGGGGAAGGGCAAGGAGGAGGAGGAGGAGGAGGAGAAGGAGCGATCAGGAGCGATCAGATGAAAGGACAGCGTACGTCCACAAACGGCGCCATGGCCTTCGGTGACCTGGCCCGCTTGAGGGTTAAAACTGAGGCCTCAGTTTTCGTCCTCGTCGTCGTCCTCCTCCTCCTCCGCACTCCTCCTCTTGCTTCTCCTCCTCCTCCCACTCCCCCAGGGTCCCGGCTTGACCATGGCGAGGTCCTGCCTTCTGTAAAGTGCGCCGGTCTTTTTAGGACGGATCGGTGCGCCTCAGACTACGTCCAGTCCTCCTGAAGAGGAAGCGGCGGAGGAGAATGAGGAGGAGCAGGAGTAGGAGGATCAGAAGAAGAGGATGCGGAGGAGGAGGCGCAGAAGGAGTTGGAGGCATATGAAAAGTAATCGGAGGATAATGAGGAAGAGGGGGAGGCGGAGGAAGAGGAGCTGGTAGAGGAGGAGGTGCAGGAAGAGAAGACGGATGAGGAGGGAGCGGAGGAGGAATCAGGAAAAGGAGGAGGAGCAGCAGCAGCAGAGGTGAGGAGGAGGAGCAGGAGGTGGAGTGAGGAGGAGGAGGAGGATTAGCAGCAGGAGGAGGAGAACGTTGAGTGAGCTTTCATTGTCTGCCCTCCCCCTCCTCCTCATCCTTCCTTTCCTCTCCTTGCCTCCTCTCCACTTCCTCCTTCTCCTCAAATCTTAGTTCTACCTTCTACCAACGCCGCTGCATTTGGCTCAAGGCTCCGGACTACCTGAGCGGATCCCGCATTCAGTCACTATGGTCAACGCTTGCCAAAGCGGCACGTGCCATTGGCGAGAGGACGGCAATGCGCGCACCGTCAAACACGCAGGATCCATCTGCATCCTGTGCGAGAACCCGCAGACCGTCGAGAACCACGCCGACCGCAAGCGCCGCAAGTTGATCCAATTTTTGCGAGAGCTGGACGCACCCTTCCGGAAAACCTGGCTTGACAGGACGCTGCCCGAGGTCTCTCCAGGCCTGGGAAGCGAACAAAGCATTAATTTCAACCGTAACAACATGCTTGAATCATTGCCATTTTTATATTCCCATACTCGGAGGCCCTCCGACGACCTAACAGCAGTACCATTCTGAGTCTGAGCGTCAGCTGAGTGCTCAGTTGTCGTTTTAACGAGAGCGTAGCGGTGATTCATACACGTTGTTAATATTTTTAACGACTTCGCACAACAAAAAAAGCTTTGCTTGCTTCCCAATTCCAGACACAGCCACCGCCATCCTGCGCTCGCTGAACATGCTCACGGAGCTGAGGACTACCCCAACCTCCGACGGCCAGCGAGCCGAAACGGTGGCGCCGCCTGCTCCTGCGG